TTAAGTGAGCTCTCCTACATACAGTATTAACTTTGCATTTGGTATGTGCAACAATACTGTTTCAAGGTTTAGAATCATCTCCAAAAGAATTCTCATTTAGGTCATGTTTTCCATGTTTGTTTAACCCTATTCTCCCCTGTAAGCCAAAGAACAGCAAGGCATTTGTTAAGTGTTCCACTTGCAACAACCGGTAAAACTTAACGCCTTTCTTCCTAGTAGCAAAGCTTGTAATCCTGGGTGTCGGTCTGTAAGGTGGAAGAGGGGCTGTTAACCCTACATTGTAGCAGCTTTGCACGTTAAGACCTTTGACCTTCATGAAAAGGATACTGCTCTGAGCCTTATTTCTTTCCTGATTGCATGAGAAAGAGGAGGATATTTGCTAAGCAATCCCTGTCGGTATGCTTGAATAAGAGACCAGAGGGTGCGCAGTTCTGTAGTTGCAGACTGGCTAAAATGATAACCAGCTCTGAGGGAAGTAACCTCAGTAGTTTCACATTGTGACCTTGATGCTTTTGGGGGTGGTGAATGATGAAGTGTGACTGTGTCACTAGGTCGTACTGACATAACGCAGTCCCATATTATGGGAAATGGCAAAAACATGAGTAGTGTTTCTGGAAAGGCTGTATGGAAATGGAGGAAACCTAGAGCTTCCTGATGGCACTTAAAGTTGCTGTGCCTTCCAGAAAATCATCCGTTTACTGCACACGGCCAAGGACTGAATTAAGTTTTTGTTACAATGCAGCATTGAAGCCTATGTGCGATTGTTTATCCCTGTAGTACCAGTCTTGTGTTATCGCTGTTCTTTGAAGGTAGTCTTCTGTAGGTAGAGCATTCATTCAAAAATCATCTTTGAGTTTTGCTGTATTAATACTCAAAGTATTTTATCAAGGAGCTGTAATTAGCCTGAGACAGCCCTTTTTACTGCTGCAGTGGCATGTAAGTGCTTCATACTGATGATACTGTTCTAATTCCAAATTGGCGTCTGATTCCTGGGATGTGCTAGAATCACATTTGATGGCTTCCCTAGTGACAGCTGACCTTGGACAGGTACCAGTCACCTTGTCACTCATTTAAGGCATACCTTAAAAATAATTCAACATTATTTGATAACTGATTCCACAATATTCTGAATGTGTTGTAAATTGTTTTGATGTAGCAGCAAGCTTGAATGAAATGGAACTTCTTTCAATACTAGTGAAGGATGTCAGCCTTATTCTAGAAATCCTCTGTCTCTGCATACTGCAGCATTTCTAACAGAAGTTAAGAGTTCCTTTGCTCAATGTTTAATCAATGCAATGCTGTTAAGCATTGCCTGACTTTAATTCTAGGTCTTAGTTGTTTATAAAAAGAGTGCTGAGGTATTTGATTGTTTGTGTTCACAAGCATCCAGGGATGTGGATGGTACTAACAGGCACAAAGGTTAGTATTGTAACTCATCAAAAGCTGCAATACAAATTGACACATCTCTGAAAGACAGCTTCAAGTCCTTTAGTGGCTAGGCAAGCTTTTCTTTCCATGCGAGAGAAATGCTTTATCTGCATTAAAGTTATAGTATATAAAGCTACACTTTTTTTTTTCTCTTCTCTTTTCTTCTGGTTAGTGTAACATTGTGCAAGGAGCTGCCCTTCTTCCCCAGCACATTTGCTCCCTTCCCCCTAGAAAGGGGAAGGTTGGAGACACTAACACTTCTGATGAGTCATCTTTAAACAGGCGCGAAAGGTTCAGAGTACAGGCAGCAACCTCTGGGGCTGAGAGCACTGCATTGGGCAGGATGTGGTATGGGCTTGTAATAGGAAAGCAGTTTAAAAACAAAAACCGAACACCAGACCCAATGCTTTTGCTTTAAGAACTCAGCTATGCTTTGTACCACCATGTCCCAAGGTTACCACAATAAAAGGCAGCCTTTTAGTTTTGACTGGTACCCTTGCCTTTCTGTGCTGTGCTGCATTGTCTCTGAGGGGAGGACATGCAGCGCTGCTGCTCAGAAGGAGGATGTGCATCACCCAGTACCTAAAATGGATTAGCAGGTTGACTGGAGCTGGTGTTGAATGCTGCATCCAAATACGTTGAAGTGCATTTATTTGTACAGCACTGGAGTATTACTGCCTCCTTTGATTTGTATATAAATTGTTCTTCTCTTACTTCAAGGTTGCCAGCTCAGTGGCATTTTCTAAAATGTCCTGGACTGGTATACATTTAGGTTTACTTCTGGATGAGCCTTTGTTTCTGTAGCTGCATGAAGACAGAAGCAGGAGGAGACTTTTCATTTAGGTGTGGCAATAGCCTGTCTGACAGTCTCTCCTTCCATCTGCAAGGCACCTGGAAACATCAGTAACATACAGAGTCACCAACCATGGCATGCTA